AGGCGGAGGGAGGAGGAAGCAGGGAGGATGGAGGAGGGAAGGGGAATAGGAAGAGGAAGAGGAAGAGGAACAGGAGGAGGCAGATGAGGAGGAGGATGAGGAGGATGAGGAGGAAGAGGGGACGGATGAGGAGGAGGAGGAGGAGGAGGAGGAGGAGAAGGAGGAGGAGGATGAGGAGCAGGAAGAGCTGGATGAGGAGAAGGAGGAGAAGGACGCGAAGGAGGTAGAGGAAGGAGGCGGAGGAGGAGGAGGAGGAGGAGGAGGAGGAGAGCGAGGAGGAGGAGGAGGAGGGCCAGCGCAAAACCGGAAGGCGAAGGCAGAGGCGGAGGAGGAGGCGGAGGCGGAGGAGGATGACGAGGAGGCGGCATGCGAGGAGGAGGAGGAGGACGAGGAGGAGGAGGAGAAGGAGGAGGAGGAGGAGCGATGATGATGAGTTGATGATGATGCTGATGATGCTGATGATGCTGATGATGACGATGATGATGCTAATGATGATGCTGACGTTGATGATGGCGATGACGATGATGATGGTGGTGATGATGAGGATGTTGATGGATGCTGATGCTGATGCTGATGCTGTTGATGCTGATCATGCTGAGGATGCTGCTGCTGCTGATGATGATGATGCTGATGATGATACATATGATGACGATGCTGATGCTGAAAACCATGATGTTGATGATGATGCTGATGATGATGATGGTTATGACGACGATGATCATGATGATGATGCTGTCGAACACTTTGATGATGACGATGATGACGACGACGATGCTGATGATGGTGATGATGATGATGCTGATGATGATGATGTGGAGGATGTGGGTTATGTTGCTGACGACGACGTCGATGATGATGTTGATGTTGATGCTGATGATGATGATGATGACGATGATGATGACAGTGATGATGATGCTGCCGATGATGATGCTGATGCTGATGATGCTGCTGCTCATGATGATGATGATGCTGATGCTGATGCTGCTGCTGATGATGATTATGACGACGGCGATGACGATGGTGATGAGGATGAGATGATGATGATGATGATGATGATGATGATGACGATGATGATGATGATGATGATGATGATGCTGATGATGATGATGGTGATGATGATGATGATGATGATGATGTTATTGATGATGATGATGATGCTATTGATGAGTATGATGATGACGATGATGATGCTGATAATGCTGTTGATGGCGATGACGCCGATGATGACGATGACGTTGATGATGATGATGATGATGATGATGTGATGCTGATGATGATGATGATGATGATGATGATGATGATGATGATGATGATGATGATGATGATGATGATGATGATGATGATGATGGTGGGGATCGGGATGGGAATGGTGATGCTGATGATGATGTTGCTGCTGAAGATAATGACGATGCTGCTGCTGCTGCTGCTGATGATGATGATGATGATAATGATGATGATGATGATGATGATGATGATGATGATGATGATGATGATGATGATGATGATGATGATGATGATCATGACGATGATGGAGGAGGAGGAGGACGACGAGGAGGAGGGAGGAGGGAGGAGGAGGATGAGGAGGAGGAGGACGAGGAGGAGGAGGACGAGGAGGAGGAGGAGGACGAGGAAGAAGAAGAAGAAGAAGAAGAAGAAGAAGAGGAATAATAATAATAATAATAATAATACTAATAGTAATAATAATAGTAATAATACTATAATAATAATACTAATACTACTAATAATAATAATAAGAAGAAGAGGAAGAAGAAGACGAGGATGAGGAGGAGGACGCAACAGCCTGGAGGCTAATGTTTGGGCAACGTCAGAAGGAGGAGGAGGAGGAGGGTCCGAGGACCGATGTGGCCCAGAGGCGGCCATCGGCAGGGCCTCACCCTTTCCCGGCGCGGGCCCGCGACGCGGGCGCAGGCGCCCGAGGGGGGGGGCCCGATTCGGGCGCCGGGGCCCACAGGGAGCAGCACGCGGGAGGTTGTCGGTATCGTTTATCCGGCCCCGTGGACGACGACGACGAGGATGAGGATGAGGAGGAGGACGAGGACGACGACGACGACGAATACGACGACGACGACGACGGGGACATCCCTGGGGCCCTCCTAACGGATCTTTTCGGCTCTCCTTCGACTCAAGATCGACTCATGTTCGACTCAAGATCGACTCATGTTCGACTCAGGGTCGGCTCAAGTTCGGCTCAAGTCGACGGACGTTCGAGGCAGCTTTGACACACTAGTGGAGCCGGTGGCTCCAGGAAGGCCACCAGATCGAGCATCGAACCCATTCCCATCCCCATCCCCATCCCGAGCCCGACGATCTCAGCACCCCAGCTCGGGATATGCCCCTCGAGGCCCGAAGGGAACTGCCTCCGTCCTCATATGGGGGGGTCAGATCGGCCAGTTGGGCCCAGGCCACGCCCATGGGGATAGGGATCGGTGGAACGATGCTTGGGTGGGGTCGAGGTCTTTTGGGGACCTCTGACATCGCCGATCGTTCCAGGCGGAGCGATTCGCTCGGTGTCAGGCGGGGGCTGACGTCGTCACGCCAGGAGCCTGCCGTGTGTCACCGGCCAGGGCGCTTCGTTCTTCGTGGTTCTAGGGCCAGGGCGCCGTCCTTTTCGGGGTCGGCGCGAGATCGCGAAGGTAACTGCGCGTCGCGCTTCATGCAGCTCGAAGCTGGAAATCAGGCCCGGCTACGTCGGCACTACACTGGGGACCCATTGACGAACGACCAGGCCTTCCAAGGCCAGAAATCACGGCGCAGAGTGCTCCGACCCCGCAGTTCTTGTGTCGCTACACGGCGGTACGAACGAAATTCGGCAAGCTGGGATGGCAAGGGAAAGCCGCTGCGCGACACTCTGAAGCGACGCCTCTGCTGGATCAAACGAGTATATGCGCGTTCTGCTGCCTGTCGTCCGGAGTGCACTTGCAGCTGCCCTCTTGTGCCATAGTAGCCTAGATGACAGTGAGGGGAGTCATGGGCACTCGATCATCGTGCGAAAAAGGCAGGACATGTTGATGCTGATGTGAGTTGTCAGGCTCTGCCACCGTCCTGCTTTAATGAACCTCCTGGGAATTTTGGGCTGCCAATACTTGTCGCTTCGCGTGCCCCACCAGCTTGGGATGTGCATGAGTCCACATGGGTTCGGTTTGCTGGAGTGTGCGTGTTCGGCGAGTTTTGATGGGATTGCGAACTGGTGCTTTTGCATGTGTGGTGAGGTTTGCACGTTCACAGTATTTGTATGGTTCGCGAGTTTTATGCCTGCACAGAGTAGCGGCGGAGCGCCCATGCCGACCACCGGCCCATTCAGAAACGAGTCCCACGCGAGTTGTCGTGAGAGGGCAGTGGGGGAGCAACAGTCGGCGGCGAGCGAGTGGGGGAAGTGAGAAGGAGAAGGCCTTCTCAGAAGGCGGCGGGACTTCTCAGAAGCCCTCGCGACTCCTGAGAGGTTTTCTGCGTCTTCGGAGAAGGCTTAGATTCTCAGAAGGCCAGAGGAAGGCTTAGAACACTTATGAGAAGGCCCGCCTCTTCTCGCTTCCCCCCTGGCGCGCCGCCGACGTAGTGGAACAAAGAGGGTTGTTCGAGCCAAGCCGAAGGCAGCCTCAGACCGAGCAGCCCCAAACCGTGGCAGAGCTAGGGACCTCCGGGCGCCTCGCGGAGGCCTCTCGGAAACGTCATGGGGCGCTCTTCGGAACCTCCTGGGGCCCTCTGGGGGCCCTCTGGGGGGTGCTCTCCTGGGTGCCTCTCGGCCCGTCTTGCGGCCGTCCTGGAGGCCGTTGGTCAAAGAGGATGGGGGGGGAGGGGCCCTCGATAAGTCCCCCCCCCCCTGGGCCCGAGCAAAAACACATTGGAGCCTGATGGAGACGCTCCTTGGGTGTTCTCCTGAGTCCTTCTCCTGAGCTCTCCGAAGCCCCTCAGAACAGAAAAGCCGAGAAGGCACTCATACATGAGGTACAAGTTTGTTGGACGGTTTTGGTATCTTGGGAGCCTTGAGGGGCTCCGTCGCTGCCTGGCAACCTCTAATGGCTCTGTGGTTGAAGCGTGTTGGAGGCTACCTGGGTCCGATTCGAACTACCTTGAGCCATCTTGGAGGCCATCCTCGACTTCCTGAGGCCATCTTGAACCATTTTAAGCTAAAGCGGACCCTCCCGCACCTCGCGAAACGCTGGTCCAGGCTCTTGGTGAGGAGAGTAGGGAGGGGTAGCCCTCTCCCCGACGAGAAGATGGGGTCTTGGAAGAGCCGACCTTCCCAACCAGTTGTGCCGAGATGGCATGTGGGATTTGTCCTTGCTCTTTTATTCTTGCCCTTCATTGGGGCCCTTGAGGCTCCCCTTTCGTAGCTACCGTGGAACGTGGTTCACGAAAGACTCGTAGAACAGCGCTGGGGAGAAGTCTGGAGATTTATTTGGATCGGCCTGACCGGGATGGGACATGATCCTTTTCTCTGGGTCGCGTGTGAATAGCGAGTTGGGTCTGCGTGTGAACAGCTGAGTTGGGTCTGTTACTTGGCTCAAGCCCTGGGTGCTCAAAGAAAGTCATGAGCAGATATGTGTGCGTAGCCCCAGGCAAGGACAAGGAGGAGGTAACGTGTAGGGCTCATGGGCAACGATGCCGGCAAGTTTGTGTCGCTAGGCAAACCACTTCAGCTTTTCATATTCGTCGAGTTCTCGGGCTCGTGTCGGTGCTTCTCATCCGAGGTGTGCGAGCCTGATTCCATTTTGGAACGCCCGCGTGGGTCAGGTCGGCAGGACGTCCTGGGCCCACAGGGGGAAGACAGCGATCTTACACCTGCCACTGACGGGGACTACTGCACGACGGGCCTGGACTGCGGTGGAAGAGGAGCTACGGACGAGAGCAGTCAGGCTGCCAGGAGGAGCGCAGCCGACTGCGGCACTGCCTGCGGTAGTTACAAGGCCGGATGCTCCTCTGGCAGTGCGGACTTTGGCAGGGTTGGTTTGACAGCAATCGTGCTCTCGAATGAGACATCGCACCTTTCCCTGTTCCGAATCCTTCCGACGCGGAGGCGATCTGCTCAGATGCGGCTGCGATCGCACGTACAGTCGGGGGTGCTCGCGCCTGCGGGGGACGACGGCACCGAAGACCTCCTGCTCCTGACCTCGGACGGGCGCTCGTCGTGGTTCCGCGAGGGCAAGTCCGACCACCCCGGGTGCTGCCAGAGGGGTCCCTGGCCCACGGGGCCCCCAGGATCTCCAGGGAGATCCCCACGGGCTCGAGAGCCGCCCCCTCGCGAGGCCCGGCGGGCCTCAGGGGCCCTCGTTCTCTGGCGGGCGCAGGGCTGGGGACACCCTGGGCCAGGGGCACCCGTGCGGCAGCCCCCGAGCCGTGTGCCTCTGCGAAGCATGGGGCCGATCTTCGGGAGCACGAGCGCCGGCGACTCGCGGCCCTGCGCGCTGGGCGCGCGGGCCGGCGCGGGCGGCGGCCGCCTCGTGGCCGTGGGCCTGGAGAATGGCACCGTGGGCGTCTGGCGCGAGGCTGCCGGGGCGCCGGCGCCTGGCGCGGGTGCCGACGGGCCCCGCGCCGGGTGGGCGCTGCTCGCGGCCGTGGCCGGCCCGCCAGGATCCAGGCCGCCCAACTCGGTGCCGGTGCCGGTGCGTGGCGAAAAAGAAGACACAACTCGCGGCGGGAGGTTTTGCGCTATGGTCGGCCTCTGGGGGCCCCTACCGGGCCTCGGGGCCGTGCAGAAACGACTCAGGATGAAGAACAGGTTCTGAGGAAGGGGTCAGAACCTCTGGGGGTCAGCGTTGCGAACAAAATCACGACGTCGGGGGTTTGGGGTGGTCGGCGGACCGCGCCGCATCGCCGATGCGCCAGTCGCGAGGCGCTTGCCAGAGCCCAGTGTCCTCCGTCCCGTCGTCGCCGCCGCATCGCCCATGCGGCTCGTGCCTCTGACGTCATGTGCTCGGACCCCGTTTGGGCGGCCTCCTCTCGGAGTGGAGCAGCGTTAGCCACGTGGCCGTCAGCGAGGACGGCTCGCTATCCGGCCGCCCGCGGCAGAGCCCGCCCACGCGCGCCAGCGCAGCCACCGAGGTCCACGGGGGGGGGGGAGGGGGGCTCTGCCGAGCTCTCCCGAGCGGGCTCGGCAGGGGCGCCCTGGGCCTGGCTCTGCCGTCCGCCGCGATGCTGCATCAGGTCGCGGCTGTAACGTTACTAGGTGCCGCGGAGCTTCTTGTAGACGTTTTCGGGGCCTCTCGGAGGGCCTCTTGTCACCGAGCGCGTTCCACTACTCGCAAAGTGCCTTTTCGCAATCGTCCGAAAAACATATGTTTGCTTCGATGGAATCTGTCGTAGATCCCCCATTTGCTAGCAGCTACTTTGGGAGTAGTGGAGCGCGCTTGTCTATTGTAGGCGTTTTCGGGGCCTCTCGGAGGGCCTCTTAGGGCCCTCTAGGGGGCCCTGCTGCCCTTGGGGGTAATCATTCACCAAGGCTTCTTGGGGGTGCTGCTTGCCTGAATAACTACTGCTGGCGCACAGCCTGCTACCTAGCGTTTTCCTGTGTGCCCCGACGCCCTTCGCTGCAGAGATCTGCACGTGTGCACCGCAGAGGTGCGAAGCATCTGCGATTTCAGCGCTGGCCTGAGCAAAGGACCCCGCGAGATAAAACGGCTATGGCTACGGCTTGGGGGCCCCGGGGCCGCGAACTTTTCCAGGGCTGCGGCGAGGAGGGGCCGCTCCCCGAAGGCAAGAGCCCTGCCAGAAAGCCAGGAAAGGCGTTCTCATACGCCCCACCGCGCCGAGGGCGCGGTGGCGTCTTGTTTGCGAGCGCGCGGCTCTGGAGGCGCGGGGGCAGCGCCGCCCTGTGGAGGGTGGCGCTGGGGGCGCCGCCAGAGCTGCTGCGCCACCAGACCGGCGGGGGCCGCAGCGCCCGGGTCTCGGCGGTGGACGTGGCGCGCCTGGGCGGCGGCTTGCACGCGGTGGCCGTCGCCTTTGAGTCCGCCGCGCTGGAGTGCTGGGGGGCCCCCCCCTCCTCCAGCCCCGGGGCGCCTGGGACCGCGGCCATGCTGCTGTGGCGGGTGCAGCGCCGCGGCCGGTCCCAGCTCGTCGCCGTGTCGGCGTCGGCCTCGGGCGTGGCCGGCGTCGGCGCCGACGGCCTGGTGCGCTTCTGGGCCCTGACCCCCGGCGGCGCCACGCCAGCGGCCGCCGACCGCGCGCCGTCCTGGGAGGCGGAGGCGCGGCGCCGCTCTCGTCGGGCGCCGGGCGCGGAGCCGGGCCGCCACGGCTACTGCCTCGCGCTGCGGCCGCACGGGCGGGCCGGGCCGGCCGTGCTGGCCGTGGGCGTGGGCGGCGAGGTGGTGGTGCTCGACGTTTCGACGGGCGCCGAGCTGTGCCGCGAGGCCATGGGCGGGGAGGCGCTGGCGCTGCGGTGGAGCTGACCGACCCCGGCGCGCGGCGGCGCGCCTTGGCACGGCCGCGGCCGCGGCCGCGGGGAGGCGCTTGCGCTGCGGTGGGGCTGACCAACCCCGTCGCGAGGTGCGCTGGGCACGGCCGCGGGCGCAGGCGCCTGGAGCCCAGCGGAGCAGGTGTGCCCGAGCCGCGCGGTGCAAGGGTCGCGCCAGGCCGTGGGTCGGGGAGCGGCCGCGAGGGCGTCCGCGGCTCGGTCGGTTCGGCTGCGTCGCGGTCGGTCGCGTTAGGTCGGTTCGGTTCGGTCAGTTATCGCGTCGTCACTGCGCCTTTGTATCGGCCTCACCGCAGGGGGGCGACGCGCGCGCCGAGAAATCTCATAGCATATCCGCGGTTGCGGGCGCCTTCTGGCCGTACCGCTCGGGAAACGATATGCTACGGGTCGGACGGGCGTCTCCGAGGAGGACATCGTGTTGTTATGTTCTTCTGCGCCCTATTTGTGGGCTGCTTGCGGCCTGCAGGTTCCAGTCAGTTTCGGTTTCGTTGTCGGGTCGGTCGGTCTTCGGTTGCTCTGTCGCCGCGGGGCGGCCTCGGACCGTGGGCGGGCGGAAGCGAAGGGGGTCTGTGGAGGTGGGGCTGGTACAGTTTTTGTTGTCTCTTGCAGTTCGAGGCTCAACGATACCTCGTTAATATTACGTCGCGGTGTGCACATCGCAGGAGGGGTAATCAAACTAGTCACGCGAGTCTGACTGGGATGTAGCTGGGAGTGCAGTCGAATGCGACTCCATGGAGTCGTTCGGCTGAGGATGAGAAGCGCGCCTTCAAATTCTGATGTGTGCTGCCTGTGTTTGCATGAAGCCGCCGATGCGCTGTAGTTGGCAACTCTTCAGTCGCAGCGGCGAGGATCCACACCGTGTTCGAAGGCAGCCGAGGGATATTGCGGGTCCTAACGGGGCACAGCAGGAGAGGGGTGAGACGAAGCGCGCGGAAAGGGAGAGGAGTACGCTTAGAGCATGAAGTTCTGGAAGGTGTGTGCTGGAGCACTGCGTGCACAGCAAGGACGTGGACGTCCATGGAGTAGTAGAGTTCGAGCCCAGGGCCACATTCTTTGGCATTGCCAGGAAGCAAAGCAACAAGCGATGCTTCGAACTACCGCCCATGGGTGAGACCCAAGACCAGGTTCGATCACATCGATTTCGACAGGAAGTCTGTAGCTGGCAACATGAGCATCAGTGAAACATAGACGGGGGCTCACCAGCCGAAACAAGAGCTTGATCACAGAGCAAGTGTCGACCAACGAGTGACCAAGCATAGATCAACAATCGGCCCCAATAGATCCAGCACCGACCCCACAGCAAATGAGCAACGGAGCAGCGAAAGGAGCTAAGCAGCAGGCCGGTGTCCTGTCATTCTCGTCACCTTGGGCGAACCAGCTGAGTCCCTCGTGGAATAATTGAAAGCGGCATTGTGGCCGCGCGCGGCATCGAACGGCGCCGGCTCTCTCCATCCAGTTACCCTCAGTTTCCTTGAGTTTCCTTTAGTGTATCCACATTTGCATCATCAGTTCCCCTCAGTTTCACTCAGTTTCCTTCAGTGTTTCCTTTCACCTAGTTCCTCTCATTTGCATCCAGTTTTTCCTGTACACTCAGTTTCTATTAGTTGTACCCAGTTCCCTTCAGTTGTATTCAGCTTCCTTCAGCTACACGCAGTTCTCCCCAGTTATACTCAGCACGTCCTGAGCTACATACACTTCCCATTTGCGTCAGCGCAGAATGCAAGAAACTGAAAGGACACTGAGCGTAACAAGGAACGACCCGTTATCAACACATTCCCATTCTCCTCCTGTTGCAAGAAACTTTTGGGGAAACTGAGTTTAGCAGGCTCCGCCCCGTTATCAACGGCTTCCTCTTCCTCCTCCTCCTCCTCCTGCCCCCCTCATCATCCGAAATTAATCATCACTTTTCCGCTTCCATTTTCCGCATTCTTTCTCATCCTTTGTCCTCCTGCTCCTGCTTGTACTGCTGCTTCCCCTCCTCCTGCTGTCTCCTCCTTCCCACCGTCCCCTTCTTTCCGATGCCCGAGTTCGAAGGGTGCCAGGGGAGGGCATCCCAACGATGCAACCAAAGTGCCAAACAGGGCCCAGCGGCGATGATGATGAGGATGGCGATGTGGCTCCTGTTGCTGCTGCTGCTGCTGACGACGATGATGATGACGATGACGATGACGATGACGATGATGATGATGATGATGATGATGCTGATGATGATGATGATGATGGATGACGATGATGATGATGTTGATGATGATGATGATGATGATGATGATGATGTTGAACATGGTTGTGGTGGTGGTGATGATGATGGCGATGGTGATGCTGCTGTTGAAACTAATGCGGCTGCTGATGTTGATGATGAAGCTGATGATGATGACGGTGATAATGATGGTGGTGATGATGATGAGGATGATGATGATGATAATGAGGATCATGACGATGATGATGATGATGATGATGATGATGATGATGATGATGATGATGATGATGATGATGATGATGATGATGATGATGATGATGATGATGATGATGATGATGATGATGACGATGACATTGATAGTGATGCTGATGCTGGTGCTGATGCTGGTGCTGATGCTGATGCTGACCTCTTGGGGCTTCTTGGGGGCGTCTTGGGTCGTCTTGGGCGTTCTTGCGCCGTTCGGCCCCTTCGGAGGCTGTGTTGGGGGCCTCTCGGGGCCGCCTTGGAGCGATCTTGGGGTCCTCTTGGGCCGCCTTGGGGGCCTCTGGGACCGTCTTGGGGTCCTCTTTGGGCCATATTGGGACCCTCTTGGGCTGTCTTTGGGTCCTCTTCTGGGCTTCTTGGGCCGTCTTGGGGCAATTTCGGAGGCTGCTTGGACAGCCATGGGCCTCTGAGAGTCGCGAAGGGCGAGAACGTTCAAATCCTTCAAGGCCCCTATGGAAAATCAATGCTGTTGGCCTCTGGAGGCGCTCTTTGGGGTTCTCTTGGGGCCCTCTTGGGGCGTCTTGGAGGCTTTCGCAGCCCTCTTGGGGCCGTCTTGGCCCGTCTTGGGGGCGTCTTGGTCCGTCTTGAGGCCATCTAGGGTACCCCAAGAGGGCGAACAGGCCGAAAGTATGGTTTTTCTGTAGGTTATGGTAGCGTTCTGGGCCCCCGGAGGGGGGGGTGTCAGATTGGGTCGACGGACGTGGCGTAGTGTTGGGGGGGGGTTCTGGGGGAGACATGATCAGGTAACACAATACAAGATGCACGAATTATGTAAGTCCGGGATACACTGTAATTGTGTAATCATTGGACACTTTGGATACGTTGCATTATCGCTTCCGCAGACAAAGCTGCCGCTCAGCCCGTCATTTCTGGACGTGGATTTCTCTCGCTTCGCGGGGTGCACGTCCGGAGCACATAAAGACTGGGCGTCTGGTGGTTTTCCTTGCACGTCTGTCGTGCCGGTCTGCCGTGTCGTTCTGCCCGAACTGGGGCGCTGCCAACGCCATGGGGGCCTCTGGAGGGCCTCTGTGAGTTTTTCGGAGCATGTCCAGTCCAGTTCTTTGGAGACCTCTGAAGCCACTCTTGGGAACTCCTGCTGGGGGCTTCTTGAGGGCCTGTTGGAGACTCCCTTGGGGGCCTTTGCGGAATTCCTGGAGGTCTCTTGGGGGTGTGCTGAACCGTCTTGGGTGGCTTCTTGGGGCCTTTTGAACTCTTCTTGGGGGTCTTTGGGGGGCCTTTTGGGGGCCTCTTGGGGGCCTCTTGGGGCTTCTTGGGAGCGTCTTGGGCCGTCTTGGGGCGCTCTTGCACCGTTCGGCCCCTTCGGAGGCTGTGTTGCGGGCCTCTCGGGGCCGCCTTGGAGCGATCTTGGGGTCCTCTTGGGCCGCCTTGGGGGCCTCTGGGACCGTCTTGGGGGCCTCTTTGGGCCATATTGGGACCCTCTTGGGCTGTCTTTGGGTCCTCTTCTGGGCTTCTTGGGCCGTCTTGGGGCAATTTCGGAGGCTGCTTGGACAGCCATGGGCCTCTGAGAGTCGCGAAGGGCGAGAACGTTCAAATCCTTCAAGACCCCCATGGAAAATCAATGCTGTTGGCCTCTGGAGGCGCTCTTTGGGGTCCTCTTGGGGCCCTCTTGGGGCCCTCTTGGGGCGTCTTGGGGGCTTTTGCAGCCCTCTTGGGGCCATCCTGGACCGTCTTGGGGGCGTCTTGGCCCGTCTTGAGGCCATCTAGAGCCGTCATGAGGCCCTCTTGGGTACCCCAAGAGGGCGAACAGGCCGAAAGTATGGTTTTTCTATAGGTTTTGGGAGGTTTTTGGGACCCTGGAGGGGGGGGGTAAGGTTGGGTCGACGGATGTGGCGTAGCGCCGGGGGGGGGGGTAGGGGGGAGACATAATCATGCAACGCAATACAAGATGCACGAATTATGTAAGTCCGGGATACACTGTAATTGTGTAATCATTTGACATATTGGTTACCTTGCATCATTGCTTCCGCAGAAAACGCTGCCGCTCAGCACGTCACTTCCAGACGTGGATTCCTCTCGCTTCGCGGGGTGCACGTCTGGAGTACGCACAGTCAAGTCGTTTTGGGGATTCTCGGGAGTCTCTTGGGGACTTCTGTGGAGTCTCTTTGGGCTTCATGGGGGCGTCTTGAGCCGTATTGGGCGCTGTTGCGCCGTTGGGCCCCTGCGGAGGCCGTATTGGGGGCCCCTCGCGGTCTCCTGGGGGCTCTCTTGGGATCCTCTTGGGCCGTCTCGGGGGCCCCTTGGGCCGTCTTGGGGACCTCTTTGGGCCGTGCCGTCTTGGGGCACTCTGGGGCCGTCTTGGGATCCTCTCGGGCGTTTCTTGAGGAGTCGTGGGGCGATTTCGGAGGCTGCTTGGGTCGTCAGGAGTCGAAACAAGCGAGAACGCGAAAATCCTTCAAAAATCTTCGGAAAATCAATGATGTGGGCTTTGGAGGTGCTATTGGGGCTCCTCTGGGGGCCCTTGGGCCGTCTTGGGCGCTTTTTGGGTCCTGTTGGGGTCATCTTGGGCCGTCGTGGGCCGTCTAGAGCGTATCGTGAGCCATGTTGAAGCCCTCTTGGGCCCCCCGGGAGGGCCGGGGGGGGGTTAGGAGGGAGACATGAATAATGTAACACATTACAATATGTAGCAATTTCGCAATCATCGGATACATAGGATACGTTGCATTAAGGCGTTCGCCGGAAAACGCTACCGCTCAGCTCGTCACCTCCGGACGTGGATTCCTCTCGCTTCGCGGGGTTCACGTCCGGAGCACGTGCAGTCCAGTCGTTTCGGAGTGTCCTGGGAGCTCTTGGGGGTCTTGTGGAGCCCAGTCGTTGCCGGACTGCAGGGGATCTCTGGGGGGGCCTCTGGGCTGCGCCTTCTGGGCGTTTGTGGGGTTGTCTTGGGAGCTTCCTGGGGCCCTTCTTGCGTGTCTTGGGCTGTTTTGGGGCGCTCTGTGCCTCTGCTACCCCTCCCTCCCGCCTCCCGCCATCCCTCCTTTTCCTTCTCCCCTCCCCCTCCTCCCTTCCAGCGCTGGCTCTGATCACGGACGCCGCCGTGACCAACTTCCATCTGGCTGGCGCTGCGCCGCGGTTCGCCCAGGGCGGGATATCATTTTTTAATGACTCACCGAGGGTGTTTCAGAGCACGTTCAGTCCAGTCGTTGTGGGGTCTCGGGTGAGTCTCTTGGGAACTTCTTGGAAGCTTCTTAGGGGCTTTTTGGAGCCTCTGGGGGGCCTCTTTGGAGCCTCTTGGGGCCTCTTGGGGACGTCTTGGGCCGTCTTTGGGCGCTCTTACACCGTCTGGCCACTTCGGAGGCCACTTTGGAAGCCTCTCGCGGCCGCCTTGGGGCTCTCTTGGGGTCCTCTGGGGCCGTCTTGGGGGCTTCTTGGGCCGTCTTGGAGGCTTTTTGGGCCGTCTCGGGGCCCTCTTGGGCCGTCTTGGGGCCCCCCTGGAGGCCTCTTGGGCCGGTTGGGGGCCTTCTTGGAGGCTGCTTGGGCCGTCTTGGCCTTATGAGAGCCGAAAGAAGCGAGAACGTTGAAATTGTCCCAGAACTGTAAGAAAACCAAAGATTTTTGCCTCCGGAGGCGCTCTCGGGAGTCTTCTTGGGGGCCTCTTGGACCTTTTTGGGGGCCTCATGGGCCCTCTTGGGGCCATCATGGGCCGTCTTGAGGCCGTCTTGCCCCGTCTTGAGACCATCTTGAGCCGTCTTCACGCCTTCTTGGACCCTCAAGAGGCCCAAGGAGCCGAAATCATAGATTTTCCATAGGTTTTTGTTGTGGGTTTTGAGGCCCCGAAGGGGCCAAGGTGGAGGGGAGACATAACGATGTAACGCAATGCAATATGTGGCAATAATGCAATCATTGGATACATTGGATACGTTGCATTAGGGCTTCCGCTCCGCTGCGCGACCTGCCTCCGGCAACACGTCACTTCCGGACGTGGATTCCTCTCGCTTCGCGGGGTGCACGTCCGGAGCACGTACAGTCCAGCCGTTGTGGGGCTTTTTGGAAGCCTCCTGGGGGGTTTTTGGAAGCTTCTTGGAGGCTTCCTGTGGCGTTTTGGGGGTCTCCTGGGGGCCTCTTGGCGGCCTCGTGAGGGCGTCTTGGGCCGTCTTGGGCCGTCTTGGGGCGCTTTTGCGCCGTTTGGCCCCTTCGGGGGCCTTCTTGGGAGCCTCTCGCGGCCGCCTTCGGGCCCTCTTGGAATCCTCATGGGCCGTCTTGGGGGCCTCTTGGATCGTCTTGGGGGCCTCTTTGGGCCGTCTTGGGGCCCCCTTGGGTGCTGCTTGGGCTGTCTTGGGGCCATTTTGGAGGCTGCTAGGGCCGTCATGGGCCTCTGAGAGCCGGGAAAGGCGAGAACGCGAAATTCTTTGAAAAAACTTAAGGAAAATCAATGTTTTTGGCCTCTGGCGGCGTTCTGGTGGGCGCTCTGAGGGCCCTCTTGGGCAATCTTGGGGGCTTTGTGGGCCCTATTGGGGCCATCTTGGGCCGTCTTGGGGCCGTCTTGTCCCGTCTTGACACCATCTTGAACCGTCTTCACGCCCTCTTGGATCCCCAAAAGGCTCAAGGTGCCCAAATCATCGGTTTTCCATAGGTTTTTCTAGATTTTGAGGCCCAGAAGGGGCCCTCCTCCTGAGGGTCGATGGAAGTGGCGCGACTCCAGGGGGGGGTAGGGGGGGACACATAATAATGTAACATGATACAATATGTAGGAATTATGCAAGCATTGGACACATTGGATCCATTGCATTACAGCATCCGCGGACCTGCCTCCGGCAACACGTCACTTCCGGACGTGGATTCTACAGGCTCACGCCACATCCGCCGACCCTTCCAGTTCATTCGTACTGGTGTCATTCGCTGCTTTTGGGGGGCCTGTCAGGGAACTCCCGGATGCAGTTTTGAAACGTCTTGGGTGCCTTTTTGGGGCCTCGCGGGTGCTGTCGGGGGCCTCTTCGGGGCCTCTTGGGGCGTTTTGAAAGCTTTTTGGGGCCTCCTGGGGGCGTCATGTGGCGGAAGGCTAGATAGAATTGTCGGATAGAGCTCTCTCTCTTGGGCCCCTCCTTAGGCGTTTTGACCCCTCTGTATTGTCTTGGAGACCGTTTGGAACGTCTTGTGGCTCTCTTGGAGACCTCATGGGCCGTCTTGGGGCGGTTTTCAGGGCCTGTTGGGCCGTTTTGGACGATGTGAGTATCCTGAGTGCATATCTGCTAAACATGTATGTTTTCCTGCAGGAGTTGGACGATTTTTGGCGGTTGGGGCCCTCTTGCGAGTGCTTCTAGAGGCCTTTTGGGATGTGTTGGACCCTCTTGGGGCTTCTTGAGGGCATCTCAAAGGTCAGAAAGAGCGTGTTCTACCGCTGCTGGCGGAAAACCGGGGGGGGTCATTACCAGTTCGAACCCTTCCCCCACCCTCTGGAAAACCGGGGGGGGTCATTACCGGTTCGAAGACCCCCCCCCCCACAGTCAATCATGAAAAGGGGGGGGTCACTACCTGTTCGAAACCCCCCCCTCCCCTCCGGAAAACCGGGGGGGGTTCATTGCCGGTTCGGCCCCCTCCTCCCGTCGAAAACCGCAGGGGGGGTCACTACCGGTTCGAACCCCCCCCCCCGCCCCCTCTTCGCCGCCGGGCCGGGGAGAGTGGGGACATTGACACACTACTGGGGGTACTGGTGGGGACAGCGGGGACAATGGTGAGAACAGTGGGGACAGTGTGACAGTGGTGGGGACGGTGGTGGACAATGGTGGGAACAGTGGGGACAGTGTGACAGTGGTGGGGACGGTGGTGGTGGGGACAGTGGTGTGGGGACAGTGGAAATGTGGTGGGAACAGTGGGACAGTGGAGGGTACAGTGGTGGTGGGGACAGTGGTGAGGGCGGTGGCGAGGACGGCGGTGGGACAATGGGACAGAGGTACAGTGGGGACAGTGGTGGGGACAGTAGGGACACTGGTGGGAACAGTGGGACAGCTCAGTGGGACAGCGGAGGAGACAGTGGAACAGTGGGGACAGTGGGGACAGTCGGGCTGGGGACTGGTGGTGAGGACAGTGGTGCTGGGGACAGCAGTGGGGGATGTGGTGCGGACGGTGGTAGGGACTGGGAGTCGTTTGCTGGCGGTGAGCGTGGGGGGGGGGAGGGGTTCGAACCGGTAGTGACCCCTCCCGGTTTTCTGGAGGAGAGGGGGGGGGGTTCGAACTGGTAGTGACCCCCCACGGTTTTCTGGAGGGGAGGGCGGGGGGTTCGAATCGGTAGTGAACCCCTTCCAATTTTCGGGAGGAGAGGGGGGGGGGGTCGAACCGGCGGTAGTGACCCCCCCTCCCGGTTTTCTTGAGGGGGGGGGGGGGGTTCGAACAGGTAGTGACCCCCACCGGTTTTCCGGAAGGGGGGGGGTTTAGGGAAGGGGGGGTTTTGCTGGGGAAGGGGGGGGGGGGTTCCAGCAGGGGGGGGGATTTTCGGAGGGGGGGTGTGGACCCCTGGGTTCCAGAAGAAGAGGGGGGGGAATTTTCCACAGTAAAGCGGCGGTGGATCACGCTCTCTCAAAGGTCATGAACTCGTTTTTCGGCGGCACAGGGTCTCCGTGGAACGTTTTGAAGGAATCCAGAGCCCTCTCGGAGCCTCCGAAATGCACCGAAAAAGCGTGGATCCGAGTAGGCGGATTTCATGTGCAGGAAGTGTTCCAGTGAGTGTGGCAATTGGCTGCTGATCTCAGCCGCGCAGCTGGGTGGCCTCGCAGCGGTGGACTTCAGTGTGGTGGAAGCCGGTCGCTGCTTCGGGGAGGCGGCTCCCGTCTTCGGAAACACGGCGAGTACATGTGCCAGTTCTGTTTTTTGCAAGTGTCTTGTCCATGGCTCCCCAAGATTTTGGTGCTGGTGCTGGTGGTGGCGGCAGGACACAGAGCTCGTCTTGGTGCGAGGGTGGCTTTCGGCACTGAGGCTGGACGGCTTCTACCTGTGCATGTGGGGGTGGTTGATCTTGATTGGGTTTTTGTTCTGCCGGAGTTACTGCCCGTGGAGGGCACGGGAAACGCAATTGGTGGGGGTCATTATGGTCATACTTCGGATATCTTGTTCGCGCATGGTTCTGTTGTTTCGTATTCGAGTATTTTTGCCTTTTCCACGCTGCATTTTCCTATCGTGCTTTCTATCCCCAATCAGCCTCCCTTGCAGCCGTTTGAGCTTATTGTGCGGTGTTGGTCAATTTTGCCTCGTCGAGCGTGGCGCCCCCTGCTGCAGCCAGCGATGGCGACAGGGCATCTGTTTGGCAGGGACGGATGGGGACCAGAGTCTTGCTGGTATCGTTTGTTTAGTTGGGGTCTCGGAGGCGGTTGGACATCCACACTGTATTTGCGTACGGACATGCGTGTTTTTGCAGTTGGGGCGCCCGCCTTGTGTATTTCTGGGTGTTCACAACAGTCGCGCCCATGCTTGCGCGCTTCGGTGGGACTGAGCGGTAGGGGGGGGCGTACCAGAGATCGTCGGCCTACGGTCCAGGGCCTCGCCAGTGGCGCGGGCGTTCCAACCGTGCCAGGTGTTCGGGGGAAAACGGCGTTGGAGAGCGTGCCATGCGCAGAAGACGCGAAGGGTTGCAGCTATCCGAGGTCTCGATTGTTTGACGACATGGGCCCCCTAGGCCTCACGACTCCTTTCCGGGTGCCGTTTTCTGATTTCAGAGTACTCAAGATTTTGTAATAAAAGGGAGGGGGTCTCATTTCGGGGGGGTCTCTTCCAGGCTATCTTGGAGGGCCTGGGGGGGTCTTGGGACGATGTTTTGGAGAGTTCTCCCAGGGTGGGGGGTCTGAAATGGCTTGTCTTGGAGGGTCCAGACCCCCTCCCTTTTATTACGAAATCTGGAGTAATTGTTTTCCCGTCCTGCAGGCTCGGAATTGGGCTCTGGACGCTGGCACCTGGGAACAGATGTCCGTTTCGATGTTATTGGATCGCTTCGCTCACTCCGCCAGCCCGTATTGTGCCATCGCAGGCGTTTGCCTGCGCGTTCGTGGCCTCTTGGAGGCCGCTTGGCGGTATTTCTGGGGCCTCCTGGGGCGTCACGGGGGCCTCTTGGGTGCCTCTTGGGGCTCTTTGGGGGGGTCTGGGAGGCCTTTTGGGGCCGTCTTGGGCCCCATTGTTCAAAAAGAGGGGGGGGTCTTAATTCCTGTCGCCCCCTCGGAGGCTCAAAAATGCTGTCTTGGGGCCCTCTTGACCCGCTCTTGGAACGCTCTTGGGCGCTCTTGGGCCGTCTTTGGGGCCTCTTGGGCTCCTTGTGGGGCTGTCTCAGGCCGTCTTAGGGCCACCTTGAGGCCTCAAGAGCCCATCGGAGGCGAAAAAGCGAGAAGGCAAAACACATTGATTTTCCCTATGCTTTTGTGAAGGATTTTGGCCTCTTGGGGGGTCCTTGGAGGGCTCGGAGGGCACATTAACCGTCTTGGGGCCGTCATGAGACCTCTTGGATGCGTGTCGGAGGCTATCTTGAGCCATCTTGAGGTATCTTGGGCGATCTTGGAGGCCATCTTGGGCTATCTAAAGCTCTTGGAGCTATCTTGGGCCAAAAAGGAGGCTCTGACACATCGCGGGGGAGCCCGTCCAGACCCAGGGAGGGGGGGAGGTAAACCTCCCAAGCAGGGAAGGAAGGAGGTTGGAGAAGGAAACGCGCTAGACCACCTGCGCCCAGAGGGATGGTGGGATTCAGGCCGCGAGGGCGCGGATATTTGCGTGCGTTCGCCGCAGACGAGCTGGCTAGCCAGACGAGCTGGCCCGACCCACATCCTGGCGGCCGCCCAGGCGGTTACAACCGCGGGCCGCCGCATAGGACGTGTCACAACATAGTTGTAGCATCTTCGAATCACTTGAGGCTCCTTCCGGGAATTCCTTGCCGCACGCAATACGTTCGCCGCCCGTGACTGTGCCGCCCGCCAGGTGACGGCCCGCGCTCGCCGGTGGCTGGCCGCCTCCACCGCGCTGGCCGCCCTCGCGGCCTGCGCGCGGGCAGGCGCCGGGTTCGCCGCCGTGCGCCGGGGGCCTGCCTCCGCGCGCGGAGCTCGCCACGAGGCGCGGCGCCCGCGCTCCCCCGACCGCCTCCGCCTCCGCCTCCTCCTCCTCCTCCTCCTCCTCCTCCTCCTCCTCCTCCTCCCTCTCCTTGCTCCTCCTCCTCCCTCTCCTTGCTCCTCCTCCTCCCTCTCCTTGCTCCTCCTCCTCCTCCTCCTCCTCCTCCTCCTCCTCCTCCTCCTCCTCCTCCTGGGGAGGGGGCCCCCGCCGGCGAGGTCGCAGTGGGCGGGGCCCTTTCGCGGGCAGCTGGATACGTTGGGCAGCAAATCATGAGAGCCTGGTATACCCTCGTGATTCCTGTCTTTAGCGTCGACTAGCGTCGATTCGCGTCTTGGAGTCGAGGATAGTGACGATGTAGCGTCGGTTAGCGTCGACTAGCGTCGATTTGGCATCGATCTAGCGTCGATTAGCGTCGGCTATCGTCGATTAGCATTGATTCGCAAGAGCCGACAAGATGGTTTGGGAGGCACCCATGAATTGCCACCGAAGGATCACCGGGGTGCGGTTCGTGATCGGCGCTGTTGGGGCCTTGGGGGTCACCAGGTTGCGCCACATGTTTGCGGAGCACTCGTCGGGGCGCAGCAGAGATTTCCGTCGAGGTCCACGCCGGCCCCACAGGGGCGAGTTGCAAACCACACCCTTTGCATATCGCACCCTTCGGAATTGCCGATCCTCGCGCTGCCGTGAACATCACAGTGGGCGTTTTTCTTTCGGGTTCGCGCAAGAGTGACCTTTCGCGCCAGAGTGGCCTCTGCTGGTGCGGGCCAACAGGTCGGAGGCGACGATAACGGCGAACAGTCCAGGGGCTGGCATTACACGTATTCGCCTGGGAGCCTCGCCGAAGGCATGGACCATCGGCGCCCCTGGATGCATGTATTCGTAAGTCGGGCGTGTCCTTCTACAGGGTGAGTGCATTCAGGAATAGTCATGACATAGGCTGGTGACGATTTTCGTCCGCCTATCATCATACAACCTTTCAACATCCGCCTGCAGGAGGACATGCCCGACCCAAATGTACTGCTGTCCCCTGGGCTATTCGCCCCCAGCGTCGCCCCCGAACGTGGGGCCCTCCCACTGCCGGCCTGCGCGCTCGGGGCCATCCCGGCCTGCCCGCGGGGAGCCCCCCGCAGCCGCGCACCGCGAGGCCACTCTCGTGCCCAGGGCCGCTCCCCTGCGTGTGGTCGACATTTTTCTCCTCCTCCTCCTCCTCCTCCATCCTCCTCCTCCATCCTCCTCCTCTTCCTCCATCCTCTTCCTCCTCCTCCTCCTCCTTGCTCCTCCTCCTCCTCCTCCTCCTCCCTGCGTGTGGTCGACACTTTTTCTGCAGCTCTCTCGGTCTGCGGGGCCCCTCGCCGGGCCCCGGGGCGTCGACCTCGGCGTCGACCCGAGGGGGGGAATCGAGAGAAGGAGAAGAATGCCTCCTCAGGGGGGCGGCGGGGCTTCTCGGAAGCCCTCGCGCGTGCCGAGAAGTTTTCTCTGTGTCTGCGGGGAGGGCTCAGAGAGAACTTCTCAGGAGGCCCGGGGACTGCCGAGCCCTCCTGAGAAGGCCCGCCCCGTCTGAGTTTCCCCCCCTGGGCTCGCCGCCGAGTAGCAGGAGCGCCCCGGGACGGGAAGCCTGCCCAGGAGAGAGGGGCGGGGGCGCCTGGTCGGGCGTGGCGTCGATGGGGGAGCGCTAAGTGGGGGGGGGGGCGAAGAAGAGACGTGCGCCTCGTGTGCACCTCGGGAGCCACCGATGGGGCCCTTCCGGGGCCAAACAGGGGCACGAAGGGTGCAGGTGTCTCCGCCCCCTTCATCTACAGTTAACCTTGGCAGTACGGATGATCGACTTCCTCATTGGCTCGGGCCACGCGCCGAGGCCCTCCTCTATCCTCCTCCTCCTCCTCCTCCTCCTCCTCCTCCTACATCCTCCTCCTCCTCCTCCTCCTCCTGCTCTTGCTTCCCTTGCCTCTTCGGTCATCTTCGGTCCATCTCCACCACTTGAGGTGGCCGGCCCTGCCGAAGGGCCTCGCTCGGCATGGGTGTCCAAGGCACTTGCGTCCCTGCCGCGCAGTCCTACTATGTGGGTTGACTGTATCGCCCCCCCACTCCGCAGCGCCCAGCCTGGACCTCACGGGGTCCGCGCTGTGGAAAGAGTCGCGACTCGAACAAAAACACGCTATAAACATAAACTTTGCGCTCCGCGCGGGCTTCTTGGATCCGCGCTGGGCCCCCCCCCCCAGTGGCGCCTCTGGCGCCGCCCCTGGCGCGCTGGGGTCCAGCGCAGATCCAAGAAATCCGCGCGGAGCACCAAAAGTTTATGCTTATGCCATTTTTCTTCTCTACTCTCTCGCCCCCCGCCCTCTTGCGGTCGACCGCCTCCCGTTCTTTTTGGGCGGAGCATCCTCCTCCGAGTCGCCCGGGAGGGGTCTCGGAGGGGAAGGGGTCTCGGAGGAGGAGGAGGAGGAGGAGGAGAGGGAGGAGGAGGAGGAGGAGGAGGAGGAGGAGGAGGAGGAGGAGGAGGAGGAGGAGGAGGAGGAGGAGGACGAGGAGGAGGAGGAGGAGGAGGAGGAGGAGGAGGAGGAGGAGGAGGGGAGGAGGGGGGGAAGGGGTAGATCGGGAGATTCCCCTCCGCGTCGGCCAGCCCTGGGAGGGGTCGGCACAGCGGGGCTCAGTCCCGGGCTCCCATCCAAGCTGCCCCGTTCGGGCACTCGCGACGGTGCCTTCACCTTGCCAGGAGGAGGCAAGGTGCGCGCTCGGTTTTGGTGTTGTCGTTGATGCTTTGTCGTCTTCTCGCCTCCCCGACCCGGGCGCTGAAATCGGCATTCACCTTGCGGTCAGTTTCTTCCCAATCTGTCTGGCTCCTCTAGGGGGAGGAGGGAGGGAGGGTATTGGATCAGGAAGGGAGGAGGAATGACGAAGACGAGGACGAGCACGAGACAATCTACTTCGGAATTCGGCAAGAATCTTCTTCGCCCGTTCGGTACTCAACCTTCGTTCCGAATAATCCGGTCGACCAGATTCGTGGTGCCAAGATTTGTGGGTGGGGGAGCGATGTCGGGCGAGGGGAGGGGGGAGGAGAAAGGAACCGGAACGAGTAGGTTGATGGCGAGGAGGGGCTCGAGGAGGGATTACGGACAGGGGGAGTAGCAGGAGTGGGAAAGTGTGGAGGGGGATGATGATCAGAGCGTGCAAGGGTGCTGATGCTGCTGCCCGTCCCGAGTGGCCACGGCTGGGTTCGCCCAGAAATCCTGGTCGGGAATCGCTCCGAAAGAGGTCTGGGCGCCAGTGGCGCGGGTATTTTTTCTGTTCCCCCAGGCGAGGAAGGGCAGCGAGGCGGAGAGGGGGAAGAGGACGATGAGGGTGGTGGGGGTGGGCCCAGCCGTGGATGCTGCCTTCGTGGGCGCTGCGAGCTGGCGACGTCGTCCCCACCTCTGGCCTAACTTCTCCTCCTCCTCCTCCTCCTCCTCCTCCCTTCCCTCTCCTGCTCCCTCCCCTTTATGCGCGGGACATCGGGAACAGACTGGTCGGAAAAAGAGTAGGAGGGTCCCCTCAGGGGCGCAGTGTACCTCCAGGCTGGGCTGCCTTTCCTCTTTGCTGTTGGTATCCTCACAGTGGTGCGCGCGAGCGTGGGGGTACCGCAGCCAAGGCCGAGCTCCTCTTGCCCTCCAGCGCGGGGCGGTTCCGCTGCCGGTCCTGGTTTTTCGGCACTTCGCCTGCGGGCGGCTGGTCCTTCCGCCTCCTCACCTCAATTTTTTTTTCAGGTCACTAGGGTCCCATCGGGAGACCAGGCAAGGGGGAATCTGTTGGGATAATCCCGTATGAGGGAAAGTCTTCTCAGGATACTGACCTCTAGTCTTTCGCTTGCTCTGCGTCAGAAGTCGCGTGCGTCACTTTTTGGGTGTCATGGTTAGCCAATGCCGCAGCATCTCGCAGCGCAGTTGGCTACGATGTTCTTCTCCCGCTTCCCTCTTACACAAGTCATCTCTTCCCGTCAGCATCCAACGAGTGAATAGCTGCAGCTGTAGCAGTGGCGCGGGGGCACAGGAAAGAAAGTAGTGTCCCTCGTGACAGTTGATGCCCCAGCGCAGGCCAGGCGACCGGGCCTTTTCTCTTTCCCCATGCTCTTCTCTTCTATCTCTTCTTCCCCTCTCTTCTGGCCCAACACTGCTTCCTAGCTGGGCCCTAGGGGTACCTGGTGTAGCGCGGCTAACAACGCCCGCACCTCTGGACCAGACTCTCTTTTCTAGTCGCTCTTCCAGAAGCTTCCCACAGTTAGGTGAGTATTTTGCGAGTCAAGTGTTGGACGGAGTGTAAGTGGGTTCGTGGCTGGGGCGCGGGCCGCTCCAGGTGCTCTTTCAGATGACCACCCACCCTTCTTATCGGCGTTATCCGCTGGAGCGACTTTCTCTCGTCAGAATCTGGTGCTGGAGCCCACACCGTGGGCTGCTGGATGCTGCTGGAAGTACGGTTCCTCGTAAAAGTTGGGTGCTGGAACCCACCCTTCTTGTCGGCATAAGTTACCGGAGCCATTTTCGGCTATAAATTTTAAGCGCTGTAACCTCACCCGGTTTAGGGCTTCAAACATGTAAATCGGGCGGGTGGGGGATGAGACGGGGCCCAGGGGTAGGGGTCCTAGGATTGTAGTCGCGCCTCGCTCTCAAATGGGTGTAGTTCGCGTGCTCGTGCGTGCGTACGCGTGCGTGCGTGCGTACGCGTGCGTGCGTGCGTGCGCGTGCGTGCATGCGTGCGTGCGTGCGCGTTTTGGCCTTACAGAGCCTCAGCCTCTTTCACCACCACCACCAATCTGCATATCCGCATGGCTGTGGCTGGATGCTTTCGTCACGGCGCGTTCTACCAAGTGCGTTGGCAATTGGCACCTCCATCTGCCGACAGCGCCTGAGGTTCCTCTGCGCCGCCGGCTTAAAAAAGCGTGCGTGCGCGCGCGTTCGTGCGTGCGCATGCGCGCGCGTGTGCGTGCGCGCGCGCGTGCCCGAGCGAGCCCGAGCCCGAACCCGAGCCCGACCCCAGGCTGGAGCCCGAGCCCGAGCCCGAGCCCGAGCCCTGGCCAAAGCCCGAGCCCGAGCCCGAGCCTGTGCGCGTGCGCGTGCGCGAGCCAGCGCGTGTGCGTGTGCGTGCGTGGCCTGTGCGTGTGCGGGACGGGGGAGGGGGATGGGACGTGCGTGGCGCGTGCGCGTGCGCGTGCCCGCGTGCGTGTGCGCGTGGGCGTGCGCAGGTTCGGGCGCGAGCCCAAGCCCGAGCCCGAGCACGAGCCCGACCCCGGCCCCGAGCCCGAGCGCGAGCTTGAGACCGAGCCACAGCCCGAGTCCGAGCGCCCAAGCCCGATGCTGAGCGCATGCGCGTGCGTGTGCGCGTGCTCCCGCTGCGGCGCGGGCCTTATTTGCGCAGCGGCGCTGCGCCCCCGTCGTCCAGGACGGCGCTCCCGCCTCAGCGCGGGCCATTGTTCTGGATCCGAGTCCTCTGTCATCGTTGTTGCCCCCTTCATTTTCTGGTCCTCCTGTCCGCCTGCTCCTCCCGCTCCTGCCAGTCCAGTTCCTGCTGCTGTTGTTTGTCGTCGTCGTCCTCCTCCTCCTTCCTCCTTCCTCCTCCTCCTCGTCCTCCTCCTCCTCTTCCTCCTCCCCCCCTCCTGCTCCTCTGCTCCTGCTCATCCTCCTGCCCATCCGCCACCTCCTTCAATGTACGCAGCTCCTTATTCTTCCGATTGCGCATAACGCGACGGGGTCCCATTCGGAGTTCCAGATCCGCTATGACAGGCGTCGGCGGATATAGAAAAACAGTGCGATGGGAAAGGATGGGTGGGAGGAGGATGCCAGATATGGCGCAATCGCACCTAGCTTGCCCTCTTCCCCTCCTTCCTCTTCCCGCTCCCCCTTCGCCCCCCGCCCTCCCCCTTTCTCGAGCCCGCAGACGACGCTATGACGGTGACGACGATGACGTTGGCTAGTTCCTTGAACCCCAGTTTCCGACATCCGACGATTTGTTTTTAATGCGCGTCCCCAAGAGAAGTTGACCCCTCCTCCAGGGATGATTTCCCGTCCCGGATCCATCTTTGATTGCCCCGGGGCCCGATGACGTGGCCCCAGAAGCCGGGAACGAGGAAAAGCGCCGGGACTGAGAAAGTCAGAACGCGGGAGATGTGGGGATCCTCGGATCCTGACCCCGGCCAGGCCATGCGCTCCTGCACCCTGGGGAGTGCACAGTGGGGGGGGCGAGAAGTGGGGGGAACAGCGAGGGCTGGAAGGCCCGAGATGGGCACCTTTCTCCTCCCCGTGTACCCTGAGATCCGGCATTGCGAAAAAATTGCAACTTCGCACGAAATCACGATCGGAGCCTCGGTGTTCGATCAGGGACTCCCTATGAACCGCAACCATCCAGCCATCGTCCCGAAGACCGCTGGAACCTGGCAAAAGGCCGCCGGAGACCGCCGAGGACCGCCAGAAGACTGCCAGAGAGCGCCGAAGACCGCCGAAGACCGCCGAAGACGGCCCAGGAGCGAGGGGGAACCAGGGGTCCATGGTCGAACACGTGACCCGAATCTCACTATGAAAAGGAGGTGGGTCTGATTTTTTTGGTGTCTGATGTGAGCTGTCTTGGAGGGTTCTGCGGGGTATGGGCCAAAGGTCGCCTTTTCAGGGCTGGTCTGGGGATGTGTCTAAAGCGCGTCGTCTGGGAGGGTTGCGCCCTTCACCCCTTCATCACGAAAGAAGCGCGTACACGTACATGAATCCACGTTGGTCTCGAGAGCACGCATTGCGCGAACGTTCGTATCACGCGGCCGGTCTCGCTGATTGGGGGGTCGTGTTCATGTAACTGGGTGGGCGCGAACGCCCCTCGTGGGCTCTCTACTTGAATGGCAGCGGATGTGTCTGACCGAGCCAAGCTTAGTAGTGGGTGGCTACTGCTCTAAATGGCTTCAGGGCGTACAGATCCGGGTAAAGTGGGCGGAGCCCACTTGGCGGAGGCATCTCATCGCCCTGAGCCACCTATAGGGCACTTGAAACCCGTTTATGACCTAGGGTAGGGTAGGCATAGCCCATCTTAGCATCCAGTTCTAGCCACCATATCCCCTCAGCAGCCCCCGCGGCGATCCAAGCAGGAGGAACCTCATCAGTCGGCCAGGCAGCTCTGCTGGCCGGGGCCGGCGCTGGCCAGGCGCCTCCTGCGGCCGCGGGCCGCACCGGCGCGGCACCCGCGGCCTGGCTGGGCGGGGTGGCCGCCGCGGCCGCGCTGGCGGGCGCGGCCGCGGCGCGGGCGAGGCGAGCCGCGGGCGACAGCGGCGATGGCTGCGGCGGCGGTGGCGGCGGCGAGGGCGGCGGCGGCGGCGGCGGCGACCCAGAGGCCGGACGTTCCGACAAAATCGGAGGGCAGGCGATCTTTGGGCCGTTTTCGGCCTCCAGGGGCCCTCGCCGGGCCTCGGCGCCGGCCGAAAAGGCGACCCCGGGACGGACCGCCGGCCCATGGGGGGAAGGGTCCGGACCTCCCCTGGGGCCCACGAGCCGAACGAATTGGAGCAGCCGGCTGCCTGGGGATGGCGGCGGCGGCGGCGATGGTGGCGGCGGCGTCTCCTCTTCGGGCGGGGGGAACTCGGGCCGTTCCTCCGGGTGCTGTCGTTGCCACGCTCGGGCGTGGCCTGGAGAGCCAGCCAAAGGGTGGAGGGGGCCGTGCCTGGAGCGGATGGTTGGCTGGGGGTACGGACGGCGGTGGCGGCGGGCTCTGGAGGGCTTCTGGCGGCGCAGGGGGCCCCTCGAGGTCTCAGGCGGGTTTTGATCTGGCACGGGCCGCTGCGCTTGCCATGAGGCTGCGGCCGTGGCCTCCCAGGGAAAATCTGGCACGCTGCCAGGGCCGCTCCTGATCCTGCTGCCCCCTCTGCAACTCATCGCTCGTTGAAAGTACCAGGGGCAATGTTAGGCGTGGGTATGCTCAGGGGGGTGCATCGACCTCCAATCGCCCTTTGATCGCACATAGGAGCCTGATGCCCCACCCCGCCCAGGCACGTGCGGATCCGATGTTGAGGTCCTATCGCCGATCTATCGGCGATGTATGGCCGATTTCAGGTGGGTGTTTCCCCCTCTGAGCCAGTTCCTTCACCCTCAAAGCAGGTAGGTGCTTTTCGATTCCCAGATTCTGGTACACTTTAACTATAGGCGCCTTCCTATCTCGAGGGTCGAGCGGTCTCACCCCTTCTCTTGCCGCTTAAGGGAGGTGGGCGGAGCTCCAGTCCTTATTACTCTCACGAGTCGTATTATTCTCTCGGGTAATGATGATGATGCTGCTGCTGATGATGATGGATATTCTGATGGAGATGCTGCTGCTGCTGCTGCTGCTGATGATGATGATGATGATGATGATGATGATGATGATGATGTCGATGATGATGATTGTTAGTATCATACATCGTCGTCCTGTCACTCCTCCTCCTCCTCCTACTTTTACTCCTACTACTACTACTCCTCCTCCTCCTACTACTACTACTTACTACCACTATTACTACTACAACTACTACTGCGAATACTACGAATACTACGAATATTACGTACTACATACTGCATGCTACATACTACATACTACACACTACATACTATATGCTACATGCTACATGCTACATGCTACATGCTACGTACACCATACAACATACTACATACTACATACTATTATCCACTACTCGTACTGTTGCGACTACTACCACCACAACTACTGCTACCACTACCACCATCACTACCACCATTACTACTACTACTACTACTACTGCTGCTACTACTACTACTGCTTCTGCTACTGCTACTGCTACTACTACGGCTACTACTACTACTACTACTACTTCTACTACTACTACGACTACTACTACCACTACTACTGCCACTACTACTACTGCTGCTACTACTACTACTGTTACTACTACTGTTACTACTACTACTACTACTACTACTACTACTACTACTACTACTACTACTACTACTACTGCTACTATCACTACCACCACCTACTACTACTACCACTACTTATACGACTACTACTTCTTCTTCTACTGCTACTACTACAACTACTACGACTACTACTACTACTACTACTACTACTACTACTACTACTACTACTACTACTACTACTACTACTACTACTACTACTACTACTACTACTACTACTACTACTACTACTACTACTACTACTACTACTACTACTACTACTACTACTGCTACTGCTACTGCTACTGCTGCTGCTGCTACCACTACCACTACCACTACTGCCACTACCACTACCACTACCACTACCACTACCACTACCACTACCACTACCACTACCACTACCACTACCACTACCACTACCACTACCACTACCACTACCACTACCACTACCACTACCCCTACCACTACCACCACCACCACCACCACTACTACTACTACTACTACTACTACTACTTCTACTACTACAACTACTACTACTACTACTACAACTACTACAACTACAACTACAACTACAACTACTACTGCTGCTACTACTACTACTACTACTGCTACTGCTACTACTGCCGCTGCTGCTACTACTACTACTGCTGCTGCTGCTGCAGCTACTACCACTACCACTACCACTACCACTACCACTACCACTACCACTACCACTACCACTACCACTACCACTACCACTACCACTACCACTACCACTACACTACACTACCCTACCACTACCTACTACTACTACTACTACTACTACTACTACTACTACTACTACTACTACTACTACCACTACCACTACCACTACCACTACCACTACCACTACCACTACCACTACCACTACCACTACCACTACCACTACCACTACCACTACCACTACCCACTACCACTACCACTACCACTACCACTACCACTACCACTACCACTACCACTACCACTACCACTACCACTACCACTACCACTACCACTACCACTACCACTACCACTACCACTACCACTACCACTACCACTACCACTACCACTACCACTACCACTACCACTACCACTACCACTACCACTACCACTACCACTACCACTACCACTACCACTACTACACTACTACTACTACTACACTACTACTACTACTACACTACTACTACTACTCACTACCACTACCACTACCACTACTACTACCACCACCACTACTACTACTACTACTACTACTACTACTACTACTACTACTACTACTACTACTACTACTACTACTACTACTACTACTACTACTACTACTACTACTACTACTACTACTACTACTACTACTACTACTACTACTACTACTACTACTACTACTACTACTACTACTACTACTACTACTACTACTACTACTACTACTACTACTACTACTACTACTACTACTAGTCGTACTACTACTACTACTACTACTCCTACTCCTACTCCTACTTCTACTCCTACTCCTCCTCCTCCTACTACTACTACCACTACTACTACTACTACTACTACTACTACTACTACTACTACTACTACTACTACGACTACTACTACTACTACTACTACTACGACTACTACTACTACTACGACTACTACTACTACTACTACTACTGCTACTGCTACTGCTACTACTACTACTACTACTACGACTACTACTACTACTACGAGAACTAATCGCATTATTGTTACTACTTCTACAATGTTGTCCTTATGATTGTTATCAGGTTTCTTAGTTTTCTTTTTTTTCTCTGTTTGTTCTTTTTATTATTCCTCCTCCTCCTCTCGCTCCTGCTCCTCCTCGTATCAGTTTTTTTAGTGCTTTTTCGTTTTTTGTTTGTTTGTTTTATTTTTCGTCCTGCACTTCCTCCTTTTGTGAGGTTGATCGGACAGGAAGAATGGCGCTCGTTGCGTCCTGACAGCAAGCAACAATGAGGCCGACTTGATTCGGATAAGTGCGAGACGAATTAGACAGGGCGTTCGCAATGGGATCAAGAAAGGCACCATAGACAATCCAACGAAGTAGGCCCGACAGGGCACAGAGTACGCGCTTGGTCTGCAGTGCAAGAGGCGAACTAAAGTCATCCTCCTTCCTCCACCAACTCCACAGACAATAACGAATCAAGAGGGATCGAAATACGCGTGCAAGATGCTGTGCAGAGTATTGCTTGCCTGCATCGTGATCGGCGTGGGCTTCCATGGATCAATGCCACATGGAGATGATAAGCAGTCGTAAACCTGATATCTGGTGTATATTCCCATAGTAGGTCAAGGTGTAACATGAAATTGCATGTGGGCACCAGGGTGCAGTTTCCACCTCCTCCTCCGGGGAGAGGGAGTTTGAGGGAGAGGAGAAGATGGATGCATGATTAGGAGGGCGGTACTGGAGGACGCTGTCGGTGTACAGCCTGCTCTTTGCCCCAGTCCCTCCTTCCTCCATCCTTGTCCAACCTCTCTCCATTCTCCTTTCCCCTCCCTCTCCCTCCTCTCTCCTCTCTACCCTTCGCTTCCGTTCACGCCTCTCCTCTCCCCCCCTTCCTTCTCCTCCCTCTCTCCGTCCCTTCCTCCGTTTCTCTCCCTCTCTCTCGTCCTCTCTCTTGCTCTCTTCTCTCCAGCTTCTTTCCCCCACCCAGTCGAAATGCAGGAGATAGCATCAGGTACGGCATGCAGTGAGTGAGGACGCAGCGCCTGCCGCCGCCGTTTGGTTCGCAGGACGCGTCCAGGTTGTGGTACACTTTGTGCATGTGCATGTGGAAAAGACTTGTTTCTTCTCGTCTTGCCATCGACATCAGGCTGGCGCCTATCCCGCCAAGGTCAATCGACCTTGGTAGCGGAGCTGCGGCTCCCTCCACGGCACACACGCTGGATATCACTGCGCGACAGATTGGGCTTGGCACATACGCTGGATATCACTGAAAGACAGATTGGGCTTGACAACCTACGCTTGTCAGTGCGACGAATATGCCCAACATGAATAACGCACAGGCAGCTGGCTTTGGTGGTGTGGCAGATCAAACGAGTATCATGGGCACGATGAAGGTGCCTCCGGCATGGGGTTCGAGATGGCAGCGATTCTATCCTTTCAAGACGTGGGCTCGCAACGTGGTATGGTGGGCCCTGGCATGTGAATTACCTGAGACGGCTCAAGGTGCAGCAGTCATTCTACGACTAGGTGGTGTGGCTCGAGAACTATGCAGCACCTTGGATCCACAGACAGTGCGTGACGGTGGTATGAGAGATCTTCAAGATGGATTGGGACTACGTCAGGTGACGGGCCTGGCTATCATATTGCGTGGACTTCAACGACAGTTTGCCCCACTAGACGT